CAAATCCCCTGGCCCTCGAAGATGGCCCTTCATGAGGTGTTTTTGTTTCTAGACAGTGTTCAGGCTTTGGCCTCTGTCCTGAGGTAGATACCACGCAATTCTGGAGGGCGTTATGTTCCCAGGCTGCTGCGGGTGTTTCGGCCTCTTGCTGAGCTCTTTTTTCTCGTGGTTAGCTGCTCTTTGTGTTTCTTTATTTAGCCCAAAGCAGTCTTTGTCCAGTCTTTAAGGCTACATTTTTTCAGCTGAGTGGTAATCGACTATCAGTGAGTTGCTTATAGCTCTGGAGGGTCTGTTTTCAACCTGTGTTGATTAGTCTTGAGACTGTTTCTATTATCCCGTGCTTAAGTGAATAAGAAATATTCCTATAATGTGAAAGAAAAATAAGGTGAAAGAATAAAGAACATTTAAGTTCACTACCACCAACACTGCATCGTTTTGTCCTGTAGCACCTTTTAGCTCTGGACGCAAAGAAGTTGATAATGGGCTAAAGTCAGTTTATATGAGGGGAATTGGCATGTGTAAGAATCGGTGACTCTGCTTGCCGAGAAAATTTTTGCAGCTAGGTGTTGAAAAACCTGGAACTTGAGAAAGAAGGGTGCAAAAATGCATGGCAAATATAAGCATGAAAGTAAGGCTGGCAAGTACTGGACCAGTGTCAAGAAGAAAGAGTCAAGAAAAAGAGAATTTTAATACGTCCCAGCTGTGTGGTCCTCTGCTGTGAGGAAACAGGGATGTCCCTTTCTGATATTTGAACTCAAACAGGATCATGTTGTGGTAGATATGAATTTGGAAGCCATCCTGATTCTTGCCAGCAGACTTTTTATCTTCTCTAGAAATTGTAGGTAGATCAGCTCTTACACAGCTATAGGCTCTCAAATGTGCTGTGAAAGAGATGTGACAAGATCCATTTCTTCCTTTTTCCACCTCAGATCTCCTCCATGCCACCAAGTGATGCTTTAGGTTGGTTGTTGGAAATGCATAACCATTAGATGAGGTAACAAGAGGTTTATTTTTCTTATATTTTTGTTACAGGTGAGATCTGCCGTGCTCATAAGATTTTCTTCCACACAGATGCCGCGCAAGCAATTGGTAAAATTCCTGTGGATGTCAATGATATGAAAATAGATCTAATGAGCATCAGTGGCCATAAAATTTATGGGCCTAAAGGTATTTATTGAAGTGCTTTTGTAAAGAGTTGTTTCCATACGTGTCATAAGAAGCGAACTACACGAAGTATAAAGTCTGACCTGTCACAGTGATTGCTATTACTTAAGCTGCAGAAAATGATTTTAGTAGGGGTAGGGGGCTGATTTATTTATTTTTATTAGCTCATTAGTTCACCTTGAAACTAGGGTAAGTGGATCTTCAGTGCTTTTGGGCTGGGAGGTGGCTTTACTGAGTAAAGAAGTAGCATCTCAAAACTGTGGCAAAAGAAATGGATCTGCAGGAGGCATCTGCTTGGTGCAAAGCAGCTCTGATGCTCCCAGGTTTGAAAGGAAATCACTGTAGTATGGGGCAAAGTTTAGATCCAAGTGTGGCTGACAACAGGGAGATCTAGAAGTAACTGGAGAGTTTAAATTCTAAGGGGTTTTGGTGTCCTCTGCAGCAAGCAGCCTCTCTTCTATCCTCAAACGCCCTTTTACAACTTTTCTGCAGAGTGAAACTTAAAATCCAGCTGATTTGGTAGTCAGCTCCCAAATAGTAGAAGTTGTAAGCCTGGAAAAAAAGTTGCAGCAAGATGGAAATCAAATTTGCTGTATTTTAGGTTCTATTCAGAAACAAAAGGCAAAGGATTGTTTTTCTTAAGAAACTGTCCTTTTGTGTGTGCGGGCGTGAGCTCCCTAGAAGGCTGCAGACCAGGCTGCAGAGGGAACACAAGGGCCGGGAGAGAATGCCATTTCCCACATAACGGGATCCCTCTCCGTGAGGCAGAGCCGCGCGCGTGCCCCGAGCGCGCCCAACGGCTCCGCTTGCCTTGCAGGGGTCGGTGCCATCTTCGTGCGGCGCCGGGACGTGGCCCAGCACGAGATGGAGGTTGGTGGCAGTTTGTCCTGTGGCCTGAGTGATAAAGCAGAACCGCCTAGATCTTAAATCCCTCAGATCTTTTTGTGCACTGGATTAAATTTGATTCTCTTGTACCAAGTAAATGAGTTGAGCTCTTCAGAATACATGTTTCTGTGTATAACTGGAAGCTCATTTTCAACCTTTTCTTACTTTGTTGAAGGGCTTTAAATTGTGTTTTTCTACAACAGATTTACAGCTGGTAACTTTTGTGATGTACTTGTCTCTCCATGCTGCACCTACGCTTTATCAGCATCTCTGGAACTGAATTAATTGTGCTTATGTGTATTAAAACAATGAGAATTTCAATTTCATATTTAAACATGTGAAAGTTCAAGTTCATGACAGTTCTGCATATAAGAATTGAGCTTTATTTATTTTAAGCTTAGACTACAAAGTTTATTTGCTAGGCCCAGTGCTTAAAACTCCTCCTGACTGCTCTGCATGCTGCTGCGTCGCTCTCTGTGCGCTAATGCCACCTTCTCAATTGGGATGGAAACAACCCCTTTAAAGCAGTGCCAGCAGGGCACAGGGCAGAGCAGCTGTGCACAGAGCGATGCTCGCTGCCACGGCAGGCAGCGGCTCATCTCCTTACGGAGGTGTCGTAGAGGTCAGACGCAGTCACCACTTACATTTTTGGTTTTTTTTTTTTTTGTTTTCTCCGCTAGTATGACCATAAGCGCATCTCGCTTCTGGCAGAGCGACTGGTTACAAAAATAATGAGCCAAGTTCCTGATGTGGTTATGAATGGGGATAGAGAGCATCGTTATCCAGGTAACGTGAGCAAACCCTCACCCTGAGGGCTCTCCATTCCTCAGCGTTAGCCATCCTGCCTGGATAACATCATTTAAACCAATGTTGTGCTGGTCCATATTCACAGATCCCCTCCAGGTGGGGAGGTGGGAGGGATAGGATTTGCTGTAGAATACAGTTGTTGGGAGCACGTTTGTTTGTTTGTTTGTTTTTTTCAATATAGGGTGCATTAATTTATCTTTTGCCTATGTGGAAGGGGAGAGTCTTCTGATGGCTCTGAAAGATGTGGCTCTATCTTCAGGAAGGTAGGTGGAATGTATGGGGAAGGAGAGTGCTATAATCTGGAGAGAAGATATTTGCTAGGAGAGCTACAAGCTAAGTAGTGGTCTCCACTGTGCCCTCGGTTTGCTCTGTTGGTTGGTGAGTCAGCCTGACATTGAATGCAGCCCGAGCTGGTCTTTCTCTAAAGTGGCACCTTGAGAATGAAGGTCACGTCCACTCAGGTTGAAAGCAGGAACAGGGAATTGCTGCCTGCCAGCTTGGCAGATCTGCATGTGAGCTGAGTAGCTGTAACTCATGGCACTCTCATTGAAAATGCCATTTGGGCTTCTGCAGCTTCTGTCCTTCAGCAAGGCTTGGCACCACACATAGATCATAGCTGGAATCTAGTGAGGCTGGGCATTACCTTAGTGAATAGTACCTATATGTGATGCAGAAGAAGAAAGAAAATTGAGTGCATCCTCCAGGAGCTGTCTTGATTCTGCAGGAGACATGGGTCAGAGTGATTGCTGTTACTCAGGCCAACTGGATGCTTGTAAGGAAGAAGCTGTTAAAACCTTTCTTCGCCTTTCTGAATGAAGTAGATTGAAATAGTATCTTAATTACCACTGTGCTGGTGGTATAAACGGGAAGAACAGGTCTTTACTTGGCAGTCTCCAAAGCCCAGCACTTTCATAATTTGAAAGCCTCTTTGGTGCTTAGATTCTGCTTTGTGTACGTCCCTAAGCACTTCTGGTCTGTGCTGATGTTGCTACCTGTGAAAATCGAGTAGCAGCGTGCAACCAGTTTTGCCTAGTGCTCTAAGAGGAAAGTTCCTGCCTCCTGACTGCTGTGACTAAACCTTGCTCTGGATTCCTCAGTGCTCTATTTCCCATTGATTCGTACTGCTGCCAAAGAGCAGCAGGAGAAAGGTGGTGGGTTTTGGGATTTTTGCTTGTTTGTTTTTTAAGCGTGTCCATTGGTATTCTTCGACTAATTCTTTCTGGGCTCTTCTTTCCCCATCCGTCATTTCAGATACCTCTTAAGTCTGCGTTACACGTCCTGTGTTTAGTCTTGCGTTTGCTCTTGTTGTCTGACCTGTGCCAGCTCTTCCATCATGCTCCCAATTTATTATTCTCATTCCTGTCTAATCCCCGCCCCTGCCATTGTTTTTCTGCAACAGAAATACTACATGCCTCTTGCTCCCTCTCTCTCCTTCTGTCTCCTTCTATTCTCCGTTTCGGAGAGGCTGGGGAGCCTGCTGTAAGTTGTTGTAGGGAGCTGCAGTAATACTAGGTGTCTGGAGGGGGCCTCTTTGTTTTTTGGAGAGTACTGGAGGGTGAAGTTGCTTGAGGGGGGCTTTTGCTCATGAGCAAAAGTGTGAGATTTACTTTTGCTCCATTTCCTAGTGCTTGTACATCCGCCTCTCTGGAGCCTTCGTATGTTTTACGGGCAATCGGGACGGATGAAGACTTGGCTCACTCATCCATAAGGTGAGTGCAGCGCTTTTTCTTATTGCTGTTTTTTCTTATCATGCTGAAAGTAGGTGGTGAGCTTCCACCCCTACACGTGCACGATACTCGTATGCTTAATGTTGTGCAGGGAGGAGCCGGAGGGGAGCACAGAGGAGTGTTTGCGTTGCTGTTTTGGGTGCGTTATTGTCTCTCTGCTTTAGGTTTGGCATTGGTCGTTTCACCACAGAAGAAGAAGTAGATTACACAGTGCAGAAGTGCATACAGCACGTGAAGAGGCTGAGGGAAATGAGGTGAGCCAACTTACTGAACTGAAAATAGGTGTCATAATCATTGAGGAGTTGGATTGTGTTCACAACAGGTTGCTTTAAAAATCTGTTGGTCTCTCTGTATATAAAGGTATAGTAATGACAGAGGATGTGGCCTGATTTTGACAGTAGTGAAAATCTTTTAAGCACACGACCCTGAGAACAAACCTTTTCCCAGTTCCCACCTTTATCAAGGGAAGCATATAAGGGTAGGGCAAGCATGTAGGAGAAGCTACCTTGAGGTTTCCAAGCTGGAGATGGTATAAATGTGTGGATGGATCAGTAAGTTATTTAATTTTGCCAAAACTGAAAGACTTGATTCACCAGTGTCAAATGAAGGGACTTGGTCTGTAAGAAACGCTTGTGCTCCGTGCCCTACACTGGGAGCAGAAAATAAGATGGGGCACCTGCCCCCTCACCTCTGCCTTTGGGCTGAAGGTCCTGGGGGAGACTGATCATCTACAGAAGGGGAAGATCTCCCTCCTTCTACCATGCTCTTCTCCTTGCATTTAATGAAATTGCTTTTTTGATAATTCTTGTTGTTGTTGTCTTTAGCATTCAAAATGGCCCTCATTTTTCTCTCTTTTCTTTACAGTCCTCTGTGGGAAATGGTGCAGGATGGAATTGACCTCAAAAGCATTAAATGGACTCAGCATTGAGAAAACAGCTTAGCGCTAACCATGGACTAGATGGATGTGGATTAAAATGCATTCTCTGTACATTCCTGAACATGTATTTAATTCATGCTTCACTTTTTTGTTTTGGTTTTGAATTTATAATTTGACTGGAATACTGCCCTTTCTGTTGACAAAGTCTTAAGAAGTCAAAAGTGAAACTAGCCTTTTTGCTGGAAAAAAAAAGCAGGATCCTATAATGTTCATTGCATTTATACTTACATACAGAAATTTATGCTGGCAGAATTTATTTGGAAAATATGTATTTTCTAATGTGAAAATTAGACTAGCATGTTGCTACTTGTGTCAGCAGTATCTTGTCAGAGGAGAACACCCATAATTGATGATTTGTTTGCAGCAAAGCCCTATTGCCAGACCTCCAGTTCCTTTAATTTTTGGCTGAGGCAAGCATCTGTGCATCTTTTTTTTTGTGCGGTTTGAATGTGTTGTATTGTCAGAAATTCTCATGGAGAAGGCAGTTCAGCATTCCTAGAGGAAAGGGATGTCTCAGTGTAGCCATCTGCTGTTACAGTTAAGATGTACATGCATTTAAGCATAATTGCCTCCCTCCTCAAACTCCAGATTTCGTCCTCTTCCTTGGTTTTATCTCTTTCTTTTTTTACCTTTTTTTTTTCTCCTGATGCTTGTACAGGCCAATATGCATTAATCCAAAACATCCTTCGCATTACAGAGTTTATGATACAATGATGAAGCACTGTGGTTTTCTATGTGTTTTTTTTTTTTTTTTCAAATTAAAGAGAACTTGAATGACTGAGGGAGGGTGATAGGTAGAATACGTCGACTTCAGTTGCAGTACCAGTTTTAACTGGAACAAACGGATAAGCATGGGAAAAAGCAGATAAACTGCTATGTCCTAATGCTCCGTGGTTTCAGTTTCTTTTCTTGTGTTGAGTCCTTTGCTATTACTGAGACTTTACCTATTGGAATGTGGTTACATTAGAGAGCCTGTTGCTTTTTCCCAATATTTTTGTTTAAGTCTGGATGTTCTGGCTTGAAATAAGGACACGGGCAGTAGAGTTTTTCCTTGCGCTTCAGGCTTTACTTCAATCTGGTTAGAGACTTCGGGGGGAATCCATTGCACTCAAATGCTGGGGAAAGTTTCTCTCAAAGTTGATTTGATAAGATGAATTCACAGCAGTGTTTCTTCTTTGTTGACCTCTCTATCAAGTGCCTTCGTAGCAGCTGCATAAGCAGACCACTCTCAAAGTAGTTCATTGATTGCTGGATGCTGTGTTAGACACTGAATTTAAGGTACCCTGTAGACAGTGCGTGTTTTTAGTTCTGGATGGTATCTATTTCAAGGATTAAACTTAGAATACAAAAGATGAAGCTAAATGTCACAAGGTGGATTGCATTACAGGACTCTTTTTTTTCTTTTTTTTTCTTTTTTTTTTCTTTTTTTTTTTCTTTTTGTTACCAAGAACGGGTTTGGTTGTTTGTAATGCAGAGCTAATCTTGAATTGTTCTCTCTGAAAATGATTACTGGCTTCAACAGTTTTAATATTGTAGGGCTGGCACCTCATAATACTTCATCACAGTTTCTGGTGCAAAACTAGATTTTAGAGATGTTGTGTGTACGACATTTCCTCTTCGGGCCATAAGTGCATTGTGGCTTAAGCATAATGTAACAGCACTCTCACAGCATGTTCTCAAACCTTATTTTTGTGAGATTGTTCTTTGTGTTTTCTGATCAATAAAAATACAGATAAGACTTAAACTTGATTGCTTTCAGTCAGTGATAACTATAAACTTGGAGGAAAAACAATATAAATATATAGAGTACAAATTATTTTGTGGGGATCCACCTTTCTGGCTGAACTATTTGGCATGATCAGTAAAGTTGAGAAGTTACAATCTTTCACTAAAGAACACAGAAAGATAAACGCCTGAGCCTCATGTACTGAGATTTAAAATGTAAACCTTCCAAGAAAAGGTTTAGCCAACTCATTCACACTGTTAACAATTCTAGCACACTATTAACTTGACCACCACGAAAGAAAGAAGAAATACTAAGGATTAATTTTTAGTTGTACAGCTCTGAATGCAGTTAAGATTTTTGTACTAGGGAATAATTTATTTGGGAGGGGAGTGTACCACGGAATTGCTTATAATTCAGGTGAGGGAGCTGTGATTTTTTTGGGGGGTTGGTAATTAGTGTTATCTGCAGAGCATTAAATTAATAATGAGATGAGGATGCAGGAAGGTGAGGATTTAATAACACTATTCTGCAAATGCCATAGAAATTGAGCCAGTGTGACAGATACTACCGGAAAACAAAGGTATTCTATTTGTGTGAGATGGTTCAGTAATGTGCAAGGGGAACAAAAATTCTCCCTAAGGGGTATTGGTATAACTAAAAGCTGATAGAACATACCAACAAAATAGCTTTTTTATCCTCTTTAGGAAGGATAATAGGGAATTAGCTACTTTTTCTTTGTTTGAGGAGGCTGAGAGGAAGAGGCTTGGTTTACAGATGTGTTGAAGGTGTCAAACAGCAAGTGATAAATTGCTGTTAGTGGCCTTAAAAATTATAAAGTAACATGAAAGCTGTTGCACCTTATTTTGGACATAACTGATTGGACAACTGTTGTATGTTTGTCTGGGGATGACTTCAGTCATGATCCAACGGTGTTCAGTCAAAGTGTTTCTAGTCACAATGCACACCTTGCACTTTGAAAAGGCAAAATTTCCCTAACCTGACTCCAAAGGAGTTGCTGGAGATACCTCTTCTCCAGTTACGACAGTTCCACTTAAATTTTTGAAGGGTAAATCATCCTAGACTGGAAGAAAGCAAACAGCAGCTTTTTAAAGGAACGAGCAGAATACTTAGGAGAATCAAACGCTTGTGACTGCCGAACACTCTGATGGCTGAAGGTCCTCATGGTCATCCAAAGCAATAAAAACACTGGTTCAGGGTCCTGTTACAAGGAGTAAAACTCAGGCTCACCAACAATCCAGGTGGTTTTGTGCTAAGCACGCGTAGTAAAGCAAACATGGTGTTCGAGCTGGGAAGGCATGATGTTCCAGCTATAACGAGGAGACTGTGCTGTATCAACAAGGCATGTATTTAAAATAAGCTCTAAGCAGACTGATGGTTTTTAAAGTGCAATTGAGAAGGAGGGATGGAATGGAAGAGTATTTTGGGAAATATTTTGTAGGGATTATCCTTATTAAACATTTTTGTGAAGGATGTGGAAGCAGTCCTTACAGAGTCAGTACAAACACGGCCTGGCCGTCTCGTGAGGCTGTGTGATGCATGTGCTCTTATGGCCCATCACCACTGTTGTGCAGCGAGGGATGCCCGGGGCTGTCGATACCATCACTTGGCTTCAGCCACTTGCTGTCATAGTCCGGGTGTGCAGACAGCCTGTCCTGACTTGTGCCAGCTAATGACCCAGGAAATCAAATTTCAGGATGCTGCATATGAAAAAGTGGAGTTCTGTATACACAGATGGCCCACAGTGTCCTGGGGTACAACTAACAAGACAAAGAGGAGGCATTGGCTTTCAGAACTGATAAATTATCAAGGCAAGCTTAGCACAAACAAGAAAAGAGGGGCTAAAGTCAATAAGGCCTGTGCTTGTGAGGGAAAAAGCAAACAGGAGCTGGCTGCCTAGGGGAATGGATGAGGGTGGTAAAGAAAGGAAAATTTAGAATGAGAAAGAGGGGAGGAAAATGGAGAGAAATCATAGGCTGGCAGTTGCTGGGGCAGGTTGCCTTGTTCCTGAAGACGAGTTTGGAGTGGAACAACAACTCCCTTGTAACTTGTCACACTTTTGTTAATGAGGGGAAACATAACCAAGGTGACCAAACTGAACTCCCAAATTCATTTGAGCAGAGTTGCAGGCTTTTATTTTTTCTCTCTTTTTTTTTTTTCCCTTTTGTGGGAAGAAAATCAAAGCCGCCACAGGACGGCTGTCTGCTGAAGGGCTGTGACAGAAACTCCCCAGTGTTTCTTTGCTCGCTCTGAGGGCACTCACAGCACTTTCTGTTGGTCTGGTTATTTGTATTCTAGGTCTATGTAAGCAAGCAAAAGGCAAACATAGCACTGGGGAGTTAAAAGCAAGATGAGGTGCGATCTGTCGTAATTCGGTTTTAACTCCACAGCCTGCTCCTGCGTGAAGGAGGCCAAGCCAGCGCATCTCTTCAATGAGAAGAGGAACCTGATGTTTCCTGTTGAGTTCCTGTTTCCTCAGCAATTACTCTGATAGGCACTGTTTTCCTGCAATTATTTTGCAGAAGACGTTTCACAGTATCAGCATGTTACTGCTGTACTAGACATAACAATGCTAGCCTTCTTGCTGGCATAAATTCGACGTCGCTCTTTTCAGCCTCCTAAATAGGGCTCTATCTTCAAAAAAAAATTTTTTGCTTGCTAAGGGAACAAAAGACGCTTTAAAATTATTTTATTTGTTTAAGAGAGACACCTGGCCACGCGCTCGCCAGAAGCGCGGAGCGGCCGCACTGAGCATGCGCGCGGAGGGAGGGCGGGGGAGGCAGGGCGAGGCCGCACTGAGCATGCGCGCGGAGGGAGGGCGGGGGAGGCAGGCAGAGCAGCCGCACGGAGCATGCGCGGCGAGC